TGTTTACCCTCTCGGACGCTGAAGGGCATGGTGACGACTCCGTAGGCGCTGGGGACTCCGTACAGACAGCAGATGAAGTCAGACAGGTAGTCCAACACACTCAGGTCGTGCTCCACCACAATAATGTACCTGAGACACACACACACACAATTATAACACAGATAATGCAAAATGTGGACAAATGTGGAGAATAACTGATGAGCAGATGAAGCTTTAAACTCAGCAGCACAGCGACATCTGGTGGTTGGTAAAACTAACTGCAGCCGATCAACATAAACTAAAATACACAATAACTTTAATATAATATATTCTAGCTGAATGTATCTTACTGGGGTAGTTTAAGCTCAGCTGACTCGTGTTTTAACTTCACTGTTTATAAAATAGTTCACAGGATTCAGATGATATTCATTAATTTAGCAGATTACTTTATTACTTGGTATCAGGTAGAAATGTTCTCATACTTATAACTGCGTCTTTCTAGTCACCATTTTTCTCTTTTATTCTCTCTTTTTCTCATTAATGTGCTGATTACATATGTTTATTTATTTATTTAACTAACAGAATAAAAAGGCTGCAACCTTTTTAAGGAAAATGAAAAGGTCTGCTGTACTTGTACTTTGTGTTATTTTACTTTATTAGAACTTTATATCCCTTTTTATTTGTAAAAGTACTTTGTTCCTCTTTTGTTTAACACTGACTGGAGCTCAGATCTGTTTTGTAATCATCTTTTTAAGCTGCACTGCACTAAAAATCCTTCTGAAGTGACTTTGAGTCATGTGGTTTTCTTCATTTGTCACCAGCTCTGACACAATGTGCCGTTCATCCGTCTATCTGGAGGAATAAAGGCTTTAAACGAGCGGTTCTACCTGTCCGGGGTGATGAGAGAGCGGATGGTGATGGCGGCCTTCAGCCTCTGTTTCACATCCAGATAACTGGACGGTTCGTCAAACATAAAACTGCAGCAGAGAAACAAAGAAAACATCAGTGAGTGAGTTCAGCTCGGAGGTCAGAGGTCAGATAATAACGATAAGGATCTGTGGTCTCCTCACATGTCGGCTCTCTGGATGCAGACGACGGCGCAGGCGAACCTCTGCAGCTCTCCTCCGGACAGATCCTCCACGTTCCTCTCCCGCAGGTGACTCAGATCTATCAATGACAGCGCAGACGTGGATCGATCATGTATTGATTATATGGATGATTAACACTCATGGTAGCCTCAGTGAGGAAGCTAGTTAAGCTAGATGACCACACAGTTTGATGAAAGGTGAAAATGAGAAATGTTTCAAAGCTTTTTACTATTTTTTTTTAAATCAAAAGACTTTTATTTGTGACTTTTTATAACATGGTGTCAGTTTCTGAGCCACACAGACGTCTTTAAACTCTTGTTCCACCAACAGTCTAACACGCTGAGCTTACCGAGCTGTTTACAGACGATCGTCTGTGTGTCTGTGTCGTCCTTCCTGGTCAGGATGGACCCTACTGACCCCTGGAGGCAGAGATGTGGAATTACAGCCAGTCCTAGAGTACTACTTCAGCACTGAACGTGACCTCGGTGCGTTGAGCTCATTTACCTTGACGGTCTTGGGGATCTGGTCGACGTACTGCGGTTTGACGATGGCCCGCAGGTCGTCCTCCAGGATTTTGGTGAAGTAGTTCTGCAGCTCAGAACCTCTGAAGTAGGTCAGGATCTCCTGCCAGTCTGGAGGATTCTGGTGGAGAAAACAACAGAGTTACATCATCAACATAACATATGACACAGCAGAGACAGTACACGAGTTTACAGTAACGTCAGCTCTGTATGTAGTCGAGTTGTGAACTTAAATGATCCCAGATGTTTCCAACAATGTTCAAACTCTTTGTGGATTGAAGCTGTCACACATTGACTGTTGATCCAGTCT